TGATTGTACAAAAACCAAGACATTTGACAATGATAAACTCTTTATAAAAACCACCTGGAATAAATATCGCTCACTTTCGCCCTCCTATTCCATAAAGACGAACAAATGCTGATGAAGACGACTAGTGTAGCGGAAGCCTCTGTATCAGTAGGCCTCAACATACACAAGGAGAAAACCAAGACCCTCAAATATAACACAGAGAACACCAACCGACACAATCACACTTGATGGAGAAACTCTAGAAGATATGGAATACTCCACGTATCTGGGATGTATCATCCATGAACAAGGAGGAACAGATGCAGACGTAAAGGCGAGGATTGGCAAAGCAAGGGCCGCATTCCTACAATTGAAGAACATATGAAACTCAAAACAACTATCTGTCAACCAATATCAAAACCACAATGTTCAATACAAACGTCAAGATAGTTCTACTGTGCAGAGCTGAAAATGGGAGAACTACCACAACCATCATCAAGAAGGTACAAGTATTTATAAATAGTTATCTACGCAAGATGCTCAACATCCAGTGGTCGGATACCATCAGCAACAGCCTTCTGTGGAAGAGAACAAACCAGCTTCCAGCTAAAGGGGAAATTAGGAGAAGATGATGGAGTGGGTGGATAGGACATACATTGATAAAATCACCAAACTGTGTCACAAGGCAAGTCCTAACTTGAAATCCTTATTTATTTATTTATTTCAACACATGAGGGCACCAAATATATATGCGCCACACCATATTTGTGTGTGTGGGTTGTGATACTGTCCGGGTGCCCAGACCGAAGCAAGTGATTATCTTAGGGGGCCACACCCGGAGCCTTTGACCTAAAGGTCTGATCCACAAGGCAGTGGGGTATCGTGAGGGGATGCATTCCCATGGTAGCCGGTGACCAACGATCGGTTCATACGCCATTTGTTCCCACAGGATACGGGAGCCCATGTGCACCATCAGTTTGGGATCCGGTTATAGCGCCGGACATTCGCTTTTCGTCCTCTCATTTTCGTAAACAACACCCCCGTCACGAGAAGGCAGTGAGTAGGACTTCCCTGGCAGAGGCTGTATACACGTGGTTATGTGAGAGCATTTCGAGAGGGAGGGCGGGCCCACCCCACTCTCGGCCATACCAGTGCATTTGGGGGCAACTTGAAATCCTGAAGATTAACGGAAATAAGAAAGACCAAATAATGTCGGGAAATAGAAGTAGATTTGAAAAGGATGGATAACAACTGGAAAGAGCTGGAAAGGATTATTTTGGACAGGGTAGGATGGAGAGTACTTATGGGTGTTCTCTGCTCCTCCACGATGAGTAACAGGCGTAAGTAAGTAACTTTTCAATTTGATAATTACAAGTTGATGAAACTAAATAAAAGAAGAATTTTTGATGGAGTAATTGTTTGTTAATTAAGAGCTAATCAAGCATAGCGTTAGGTTGGTGGTTCAATTACTCAAATCTAAGTTAATAACCTGTAAGTTCGACTCCCTCACTATTCATGTATTCCATTTTGGGCAGGTGAGTGTTCAAAGTTGAACTACATGAACCTGCATTGAGTAAACATAAACTACACTAAACTAAAATGCTATAAAACAATGTCTTACAATGATTGTTAGTCGATAAAATGTTGGTGTAAATATTTATTATGACCACGGAATATACTGTTATTTACTACTTCCTAAAAGGGAACAAGGACTGATACAGCCGGATTCATAGGAGATTTCAAGATTTTAGATGAAAATTTGTTTATGCAACAACCAGTGATTTAGAAACTATTTCAAAAATTTAGTATTATACATGACTTAAATAACTGATCAGTAGTCAAATTGGAATATACTGAACCGGCAGTATTTGACAAAAATTGATAAAATTTACAGAACTAATAGATGAACTAACATGTATGATTAAACTGTTGAATTACATATTTCCATTTTCTTGACACTTTTGATTTGGGTGCTGTAGGGGGGGGTGATGCCAACATGTGAATTGGTTATCTTTGTTAATTCGTCCCTCTTTGTGGAGAAAAATAGTCCTGGATCATGTTTTCTTGAGTCTTGAATATTTTTTCGTAATTCAGGTTAAAGAAATGAGGAAACTAACAGGTGACTTATACGGGTCCTTTAATAATTCGTCAAAAAACATCAGTTTTCTTGGTAGACGGGCTTTAGTATCTTTATTTATGATGCTTTAATTATCTATGTTTCCTTCATGAAAAGTGATTTCTATGTTGATGGAAACCATGAAAACTTTGTAAATCTAACCAACTAAACGACCGAGCTATATTTTTGCTTCTTCCTGACAATAATAAATTCTACACCTGTTCGGTTCATCTAAAGGAAAGAAAACTAATCCTAATTTAAACCGTTATTCAAGTATCAACAAAATTTTGATAAAAAATCCAATTATTTTTGGAATGGGGGTTTGTGAAGATCGTAGTGATTTTATTAGTAGAATACATGTGTCTCAGGAGTCCCATACTAGGACGAAACGGCCGTCTAGGGCCTCGAGGTTTTCATTGGCGGTCTAACTTACATCGAATCATGAATTCAGTCATTACAAAATGCGGTTAACAAGCTGTTGGTTTATTGTTGCTCCTGTACATATATATGAATACAGTGGTCTTGAGTGCTGTTAGAGGTATGAGGACGGTTATCACTTCCCGGTTACCCACACCGTAGACGGGTTCTTCTGGAGGTACCTAAAAAGGAAGTTGGATTAGAGGTGGTCTTAATGACCTGGGAGTGTGACCGCAGTGCCCAAGGGACAACTGCTTAAGATCGGTCACACCCAACGTTTTTGTGAGTAATTTTCTTGTTAGCTCCGTACTTGTTGAGACCTTACCACCGGAGACGGATCTCCATGGGATAAGGCGAGGTGTGCATTTTAGGGTCGACCTTTTCTGACCCCAGCCTTCTTTGTCGGAAAGCAGCATCGCTGTTATACTGGTTATCTGAAGGAAACACCTTACTGCTGTCACACCTCTGTACAGTCAACAGTGCGACTTCGCCTTCGAACCTTGAGTTTACTACTTTAAGTCTTACCGTTCTTCAACCAACCTGTCTGATATGGTAGGACCTTGAGGAACGGTTGTTCTAGCCAGTGTAGCCTGGTTGCTTCATTACGATAGGCAAGCCCAACCACCACGTCAAGGTAGCAACTACGGTCGGGATATATATATATATATATATATATACATATGCTTATTTCACTCCAGTCATATTCAACTTTTAACCACATTTTACCGTATCCCAACATTTTCCACGTGAATTCTTAACAGACTTCCTGTCATCTGACTGATATTAACAACCAACTGTTTCTTTAAAAATAATTTAAATGTCATCATGAAATTAGTCTAGTCAAACTAACCATATAAACATTATCATTGTTTTTTAAGTTAAAAATTATATTAAATGAGGTCATATACTACTATAAAAATTGTTTATTAGTAGTACCAATATAATGATGAATAGCACTTTTATTCTATCACGTTGTAATATACAGTTATAGATAGTAAATTGAATATTGAATTCGAACAAAACAACTTGATGAATATATATATTCACTCTGAATAAGTAATTTCCTACTTAACGTTTATTGTTTTCTGTTTTCTTATCATAGTGATTAATTTTAATCCAATCAGAATTTTTTCAAAGGTTTGACAGGATAGGGGTATGGATTGACAAAATGATGACGAAAAAAAAACTATTAAGAATATGGAATGATATACCATGAAATATTCTTGTAAAATATTAATGGAAGTTAAATATAACGAAGAGGTTAATAGTTGTGATTTTGTCAATCAATCTGTGTTTATGTATTGTATTGTTGAAAGGGAAAGAATAATAATATAGGGTATAGTTTTATATTCATAGGTTGGATTATTGACGATTAGCTTAGTTAGTCAATTACTGAAACCAAAAGCACCGGACAGTTGTTTCATCTTAGTAAGTAACCTCTTAGCAGTGTATGTTCACGACCTACCACCATAAAAGTTTGAACTCAAGATGAAACATCAAATCCAGTGCTTCCTATCTTTGATCGGTTGTGTAATTAAGATTAATCAGTGATAAATTCTATAAAGATTCAATATAAAGAATCAATCTCATTCTTGTTTTAATGTTCACCATAAATGTTCCATTTAATTCATTAGTTAGCGCAACTATTTAACTAACAAATTTTCTTCCGCTCTCTCTCTCTCCCTTTTATACTAATGACCACACATATGCATATACAGACATATTTCCCTCTTACTAATAAAGTGAACAAAAATGGGTATATCAATCTATTTAATGTGATAAGAGAGTAAGTAATACAGGCGATGAAGAAGCAATCGAGAGAAGAAAAAAAACGTTGTTAACTAGGATTTCTTTCTTTTTTTTGTTGTTTTACTTCGAAAAAATTGAAATATCAACCAGAAAAGGAGTTGAAAAACATTAAACTATCATATCATAGATACACATAAACAAATTTGTGTGTCTATGTGTGTGTTTATAACCATACTTTTTTCTGTTGTCCATTAATGATAAGTGTATGTAATATACATGTGAGTGTGTGTGTGTGTGTTTATATTTTATACACATATGATTGGAAGAATTATTTTTCATGTATCCATTGGAAAGAATTTTTAATAAATATAGGGAATGGGGGGAGGGGGTTATAAATATATTTTTCACAAGTAAAAAACAAAATCATAAATGATTCCTAAACAGACCTATTGATAATGATGACGATGGAGATGATGATGATGATCAGGATGGTGATGGTGATGGTGATTATGATTAACAAACCCCTTTTAATTTTGTCCAATCTGAATTAAACTAGATATTTTAAATAATAAATTCAATGAATAAATATACCAGTAAGCAAATGATGCATAGAGAAAAAAATGAAAGGGGTAATTTGTATGTGTACCACTACTGTATATTTATGTATGTATGCAGGTATGTATGTATGTATGTATGCATGTATGCATGGAATAAATATTTTCGATATGTTGACAGAAGCACAAATCAAATTATTACATTTTTTGATGTTGTTGTTGTTGTAAGGAATAAATAATAACGAAATACTTTTACTTTCGATTATATATACATATATACACCAACTATAAACCTTATTAAGTTACTAATTTGACGATTGTCAAGATATGTATGGGTAGATATATATGTGCAATGTTTCAATTTGGATCCAATCACTAAGGTGCTACAACGTGATATTAATATACACTTCTTGACATATTATTTGTGATCAATTGTAACAATCATTAATTACTTCATATCTCATTATCATTACGTAAGTTATTGTTACTATTATTGTTATTATTATTATTAATCTGTAATTTACATTGATAAGAGTAAATCCAATTTATGATTCGAATAATTAAAGCAATAACTTCCAATCGCGACTTATTTTACACTTACATTATAGTTAGATATTTTTTCTGGTTAACGTTTTTTGGGGTCAGTAACCTCATACTCGACCCTCCTCCTTTATCCTGGCTTGGGATCGGCAGTAGCTTCAGAGGGGCTCGAGGCGGAGTTTTGAGGTTAAATAATTAACGTTGAGATGCAAACATTATATATATATATAAAATAAGGACTGGTATTACTAATTTGTTATTTAATCAATGTATTACATCTATTATGATATAAAAACAAGAAAGATTAGTTCAATAAAGAGTTCGTCTGTCGATTAACTTATTCTTAAGTCCCTACAACTTTATATATATGCGAATTTCTATGAAGATATTCAATACTATGTTTATTTGTATGTTTTGTTAGTATTGTCTATGGTTTCGCTAAAAATCTAGCAAAATCAGAAGTATATTTTTAAAAAATTCATTGGACGTTTTCCATTATCATGGTCTTAACCTATAGTTTACCTTCTTTATTGATGTTGCCCCTAAAATAATTGAGTTATTTCTGTTACCACTTTAACATTTCATCTTATCATATTACTTAACCTTCTTCTACACTTATCTTGTCTTTATCTGTTTTGTTCTAATGAATATTGTTGATCCTAATAAGTCTTTAATTTCTTAAATTAAAAATCGTATTTTCGTGTTTTTATTTATATTCTCTCGGTTACAAGATTAAGTGACTTGTTACTATGATAACTGTTAACAAATATGTTGCTTATCATCTAAGTAAAAAGTATATATCTATGTAGTTTTTATGATTTACGAATGAATTCATGGAAAAGCGAACCATTCTCTGAACTAATCTTCCTTGTTCTTACTAATCAATCTCCAAAATCAATGTAGTTGGACTGAGGTTTAAACCACTAGTCTATTAGTCGAACATTAATATCTTCAGTAACTACTTTGAATGAATATTTTTAGCGATTATTATCATTGAGAAGTATTATAGTTACCATATATTTAGTAAATATTCATCCAGAGATTGTTTACTTACTTAAGCTAATTGCCCCCTCTTAGAACATAGACCGCAGACTATTGATTTAAGTGACTTTTTTCTGGTTAGCGTTTTTGTAGCAAGGTTTTGATCTCTTGAGATAAGTTTTGCTAACCTTATAACCAACTTTACTACGTTACCCTGATTTCGGAATACCTAGAGGTGTTTCGCACAGTGACTGATACAACTGTTCACTTTCAGTTTGACAATCTTTAATAATGTATATGTTGATGATTCTACACACATACATATGAGTTGTAACACATAAAATTCAGGCCAAAGCCCGGGATCAAGACACCAATGAGAGTTATTTATGTGAATATCCAGAAGTCTATACTGTCAATGTTAATAATTATATGAAGCAATTAAGAATGATAGAAAGTTTAGAGAATTGAGGCAACTCTTTATTTAATTTGTTTATAAATGGAGAATTATTTGACGTTTTTTAAAAAATATAAATTGAGTCAAGAAGGATATCAATAGTTTAGCAAAAAGCTAATAGAATTTCAAGCTATTGATAGGTATACTTTCATAAATATTTTATTCATAGATCGTATTTGCAACAAATTGATATTTCACTGGTTGAAATCATGAGTCAATTGAAGCTAGATCACCATGGAAAACATGGAAGCACTAGACATCCGTTTCACCCTCAGCAGTGCGAATCCACGACCCCGCACCCCGCGAGGTTCGAACCCAGGGCCTATCAGCTTCGCGCGCGAGCAATTAACCATTAGACCACTGAGCCGGCATCCAACGGTGTTAATATCTAACTTCAACCAATCCACAAAGTTGCGCCACTGTACGCCATTGTCTTCAGTGAGTTGATATCTCATAACAGACCTGGTTGAACTCCACTGGTAATGGCTTCTCATGTGGCAACTCGAACTGATGTACGTACGTACGATGTTCTACGTTGTTACTGACTGACTGAATGGCTTCTCACTAGAACTCTAGGAGTATCTCTTGAAGTCAGTCACTAGTGAGCAGATGATTATTTTGTTATAACACGAGTGAAAACAAGGAATCATTGGACAGATTTTCCAATCTAGCTTAAGAATTTTCAACAGTGCGTATTGATGACCTTGACAGGGATCTAACCCAGATTAAACGTTTCGTTAAAATAAAATAAACAGATCAGACTGATGATATAAACTTCATCACATAAAATTTAGTTAACTATTGGTATAACTTAGATAAGAAAATAAAAGTTTGTTTGTAAGTTTGTAATCATGGATTGACTTTGAGTAGATAACCATTGACAACCGGGAACCACTAGATAGAAGTTTCGCTTTAGTATAGGACTCCTACCCAGTTCAAATCAATAATCGTACCAAGGATTAAATCTAGAACTGTAAGGTGTCAAGTTACAACCTCAACCTTTAGATCAGATTTGATATCAAACGGTTTATATTTCTGATATACGATTCCTATCATGGGAACAAAGTAGCTATACAATCCTTCCTTGTTTTTAATATAGATTGAGAATTTCTGATATCTAGGGTAATTATTCATCAATAATTTGATTAATTGACTAATTAGTTGCTTTCATTGTCATTTCTACTTTCATATTTATTTCTAGCATTCAATTGGATTATTTCACACACAAATAGTTTTTAGATCGAGAAAAAACTCGTTCATATTGTCAAAATTGTTTCCTATAGTTTTTTTTCTCTTATTCCGCCGATGTGTGATTTACTATCCCAACCACAGCAACAACAACAACAAAGACAACAAAGAACGGGACAGAAATTATCGGCTCGACAATTAAACAAAAATCATCATTTATCAATCATAGATAATAATAGTAACAATAATACTACTATTAGTAATACTACCAGTACTTCTACTGAAATGTCATCAAATTTATGTACAAATTCAAATCGTTTCAATAATTCAATTAGCAATGGCAGCCGTTCGTCAAAATTGAATCAACAACAACAAAACACACAAAGACCTGATATAAATTCTTTAGTTGATGACGATAATACTACTGATAGTATTGGTAGTAATAACAGTAGTAGTATAAAGCATACATCATGGTCACCAAGTGAAAGTTCCAATAATAATAATAATAATAATATCAATAATAACCGGGGAAATTCTTCTTTAAAAGATCAAAATCATATTTCCATAAATGGGGATTTACAGCAGCAACAACAAGGAAGATGTTCAACGAAAAATGAAGCATTGAATCCATTGTCGGATATGAATAATCAATGTCCAATAATTGAGCAAAGATCTAAAACTTCAATCAGTTTTGATAGCATGCAATCAACACATAGTAACCATTCAAATTCTATTAAGCATGATCATTGCTCATTGACCTCATCGAAATCACCACCATTATCTCCATCCAATTCGTCGTCGTCATCATCATCATCATCATCAGTAGCATCAAATCATAGTCTTTCATTTAGAAATAATGAAAATTCTCAGTGGAACAATAATCATAACATTCGTAGGGATGCCACTACTATTAATTCTTGTAATACAAAATCTCAAGCAGACATGGTTGATAAATCAAATTCAGTAAGTCAATAGTTTCTTTTTATGTGTGCCTCACCACATAAGTACAGTTTCATAAGTTTTTCATTCTTCAAAAGTTATAGTTTCATTGTAAGCCTTTTGTTAACTTTGTTAATTTTGTCCTAAGAAACTATTATATGTTTAAATTGATTTAATGAATGGATCAATGCTAGACCACCATTGTAAACCTGGAAGGACTGGACGGCCGTTTTGTCCTATTATGGGACTCGTGAGCAGTGCGCATCCACGATCCTGCAGGCGAAACTCGTGCTTCCAGGTTTTCAATGGTGATCTAACATTGATCCATTCATGATATGAATCTACAACAACAATCTCCATAAATCCATACTGGGAAAACTATGATACGGTCGACTGTTACCAAAATGTATGCTTTTTTCAAATACTTCGAATAACCGAAAATAATTCACCGACTTTTAATAATAAAATGTCGAACGAAATATAATGATGTTGTACAATGCTGTTTAAGTTGATCCTTTTCGTATAAAAGAAAGATCAAGAAGCACTAACAAAATACATAAATGAAAATAAATCACCATAAAACTTTTGACTCCTCAAACTCTACTCCAAATCAACATTATCAACAGATAGTTAGCATTAGGGTTGGATAATAAGAACGGAAACGGTATTCTAACTACGTTAATCGTTTAGTTGATATTTTAACGCCCAATCTTACGGTTGTTCACGTATCTCACCCATCTCACCGTTGATATCTTTTTTTTGGATAGACTATAGAACATTTGAAAGTAATGCATAGCATCGTTAATCAGTATTACTCACATATCTCATACATCGAAGGTAATGAAACCAATAAAAAATATCATTCTATGTAATATTATCTCTTCAGGTGTTAAAACCGTTCATTGGAAGCGCTGAAAATGTATACTTGGAATACTGTATAGGGTATTTACATATTTATCATAAAAATGGTTACTTATCAAGTCTCCGTAAGGAAAAGATCAAAGTCAAAATTTGCTAATCAATTCATTAGTTTGGGTTTGAATTAAAATGCACAAGTTAGAAGTTATTCTAACTTAATAACTAATTGGATTAAACTCTGGGCGTTTGAAGTGAAAGGCATTACATTCGAGTCCTTGTATGAATATAAATACTGCGATGCAGGTACATCTAGCCACTAACAAACATAGCTTGACTTCAGACTACATGATTTAAATCAATATCCTACTGGAAGCATTATTTCTCTAAAAATAGCAGATACGTTTCCATGTTGATGAGGTCCAACTCAGTTATGAAACGGGTTAAACAGAGATTCTATATGATTACCACAAACTGTCGGAACACTGAAACATATAATGGATATCAAATCATTTAAACTAATTAAGAGAATTCTATCAGTACTTACAATTACACTAATAAGATGTTGGCTACTATTCGATATAAACATTTGTCACTCACTAAATATTTAATCCATTTTAATGTGTACATCAATATGCAATGTAAAAAAGTAGAACAACTGATTACATCATAGTAAATATGGATTGCCGTAACAGTAGAATTCAGAGTAAGTGCATTTCGTTATATTTTGGATTTGTCAGTTGGAGGTACCTGTATCCCAATGTCGATGTTCATGCTAGGACTTGTAGTCGGCATCTATCGCACCGAAATAAAACATATTGTCCACTGAGCTACTGAGTCGATTTAATCACTACGTTTTTCGACAGCTTTGAATTTTCCCGTTGTCTTAAGTGTTTAATATTCATTAGTTTCAAACTAGGAAGGAGGTTTTTTTACTTACTGATGTTAATTCATATGTTAAAATGCTAAATTTAAGTTGACCAAGAGAATCTCTCTGTCTCTTGCAAAAAAGTTTCTAAATGAATAATTTACACATCCCTAAAAATGCGCACCTCACCTTATCCTATGGATATCCGTCTCCGGTGGTAAGGTCTCAACAAGTACGGAGCTAATAAGAAAATTACTCACAAAAACGTTGTGTGTGACCGATCTCAAGCAGTTGTCCCTTGGGCACTGCGGTCACACTCTAAGGTTATTAAGACCACCTCTAGTCCAATTTCATTTGCAGGTACCTCCAGAAGAACCCTTCCACGGTGTGGGCAACTGGGAAGTGATAACCGTCCTCATACCTCTAACGGCATTCAAGACCACTGTATTCATAATCAACCTCTCTCTTCAATTCCTATTATTCCTCCTACATCGACTAACTAACTTTGGAATATATTTTATAAAAACACTGACATTCTAGTAAACGATCTGAAGAGTTCTGGAAAAAAAGACTAGATTGACGTACAAATCTTCTATTTTATTATTAACTCTAATGAATTATCAATAGAAAAGCCTCCGAATTATGCAATGAAGCATGGTACTATTAAAACAATGAATACAAAACTGTATATTAAATTTTTTTTAAAAAGCTTTGAATGAGAATCACATGTCATTATTACAACATTTAAGTAAGTATGAGGATAGGATGTGTATCAGTAAATTTGTAGTGTATCTACTTTTCAATGTTGAATATATAGGTCCTGTTCGTAGAAGCTGTGTGTAGATGACTTTAGATAGTCAAATTGAAATCCCTAGTAAAAATTCCATTCATATATGCAGTACTAACCTACTAAATGAATGGTTAGATGTTTGAATATGATAGATATTGTACTTTTAGTAAAAACTAGAAAAGGATTATTATCATTACACGTAAGTGTGGACACACACACAGTAGTGTTGCAAAAATTTTATTAGGTACTTTTTATGACTTTGTACCATCTTACTCAGATCTAACATTGTCTCAATTTATGAGAGACGTCACGTAACGCCTAGATAAATAGTTTATTCTAGTTAAAATGAATATTTTCACTTTCATAGTATGATTAACTCAGCGTCATATACCTCAAACTGTGAAACTGGTAGTGGAAGGTTGAACTCCCTCAGTAAGCATCATCTACTCCCAGGTCTCAAGTACGCCTTGCTGACAAGTGTCAAATAGCACGAAACCTGGACTTATTTTACACTAAACAACCTGATTAAAATCAAATTTATTCCACTAGTTACTTTCCAACCTACCAGTTTAATTGACCAGTGTTACACGATACAATCTTGAGTTGAATATTACTTTTAAACTATCTTCATTCTTTAGTCTCATTTTATTTTTCTTCTCCTCTGTAGCCTTCATTTTATGCAATATTTCCTCTTTGTCTGTATATTGATAATTTGGATTGATACATAATTGTATCCGAAGTCTTATATTTTCTAAGACTGACCAACTAAAACCGGTAGATAGTTAGATCAGTAATTGTTGCCTTAGAAGTAAATTAACCCTGATGAAATACAAAATATGTAGGAATTGACTTTCAGACTAAAGGTACATCGTGTGCTACTGTAGTGTGGAGAGCATAAATCTAGAAAGAGAAGAGCAAGGAAATAAAGTGAGCCAATGACCTCTTAAGTTCAGTTACATTTAATAATAAAGGCAATCGATAATGAGCAACAGTAACACAGTGAATTGAAGAAAATTTGATGATTGAAATTAGACGTTAATATAGTAAAAATTTAAAAAAATAAGTATAGGGGTCTTATGGATATTGTTAGATTTCCACAGTTTGCATCATTGATTGGTCTTGATTAAAACACCCCTGGAAAACCAGGGAGATCTGGATAGCTGTTTCGTCCTAGTGTAGGACTCCTCAAAAGTACACATTCACTCAAGGCTTTCAGGTCTGGCAACGACGGCTTAATTTTTAAACTACCGAGTCGACTTCACAACATTGCAAATACAGGTGGTCACAATATATCAAACCTGAAGGTCCTGGATTCAATCCTCATAGGTCGTAGATGTATATAGCAAAAGTATCCAATACAAGAAAGAAATGGATATGGTTTTACTTGGCTTCAAAATGACTGACTTGATGACATATTTCAGGCAAGATCTACGTGGAAAAACATAACTTGTGAAACTATTTCGATCACAAATGACATAAACAATGATTCGAATAACTATCATCATTAAGTTACGACTGCTGGATTTCAGCTGAGATATCTAATTGTAGATTATAACTATTTCATAGACATTAAATTGGAAGTTTACACCTCTCGATACAGGACATGGACGACGTAGAACTTGACATATATGCGGTGGATTATCAGGACAAATACCAGAGTAGTGGAAGTGATAACAATATCAATTAGGCAAATATAACATAATAGAAGAAAGAATAAATCCGAGACTAAAGTGTGTGGGATAATTTCAAAACTCACGACCTAAGGTAAGACAAATAGTCGACTGATTCTGAGCCATTTTACTCAAGGTCTCCAAATATTGATTGTGATAATCGAGTCAACCACAAACAACACGGCTCGGATCGTCAGTCGATGAATTCATAGATTTATATCACTCCTTGGTTCGGGCTTCCCCAGCTGTTTTCTATTCTACCCATACACTAGCTAACATCACTCATCTAGGTTGGTGTTGGTTGGATAAAAATAATACATATCCCAATCACTCCAGTAAATAAAGATTAACTACTTCATCAACTGGTTTACCATTCTTACTTAGTGGCATATTCCTAACCATAACATTGATCACTAGATGTTTCTAACGTGCACAAACAATTTACTACTAGTAACCATAAAGTAATAGGAGCGAGGTTACATGCAACGTTTTCAATGTTCGATATGTGTGTCATTTTCAGCATTTTCAGAAATCCTCTATTCGTTTAGTGAGTGAGTACTGAAAATTATAGTGTGATTTTCATTAGAGATATTATTCCAAGGTGTAATTTTCATCATCTTTGTGTTGTTTTTTTTTTACGAGGACTGTTGAAGTGTGTTACACTAATATATTTAGAGCGAACAATTTCAGATACCTTCAGGATCTCACTTGAAAAAAGAATACCATATAGAGAGGTTTGTATAATTTTACTGTAGTTCATTTTACTAGTTCTGCGACGCTAACTGATAAAACATTGTACAGCTATTTCGTTCTAGTTCAAGACTTTTTAACAATCAACACAGTCATGACTTCAAGCTAGGACCTTTGTGTTTTCCTCACCAATCACAATACATAGAGAATCTAATAATCCAACTCATAATACATTCCCATGTTTAACCAATGCCATTAATGAGTGATTATTTTATTTCCCAATTGATTACACTCCACTATTTGTTACTAACTAACTAGAACATTTTATGAAATTCGTCATCTCGAAGCTAGTCAACTTGTGTTGGTTAAACTAATAGACAACAAAATAAACAACTTCCAATTATATTCACAATCATTATATGACATTAATATTGTACCATAGTATTTGAATTAATGTACATATGCCAACAATAGACCGATCAATTGCAGTCCTAAATAACAATAAGAAGATACAAGTAAAACAACACCAAGTAAGTATAAATTCACCCCATTTTACAAGGAAGTGGCTCAGTGGATAACGCGATGATGTTTGAAGCAAATGGTAGTGGGTTCGAGTGCAAAAGTGAATATCAACTGTGAGACGCAGGTACATCCAGCTGACAAGTCCCAAACAGGACGAAACGCGGGTCAAACTAGATTCCACTGCTCACCACTATCCATCTTTGGTTAAAAAGCTTGTGATTTAAGGTAATATCGAGACAATCTGCACAGGATGCACATATGCCGACATAAGACTGATCAATCGCAGTCCTAAACATCATCCCATTGCACAAACAAGTGGCTATTAGAACTCAGTAGTTAAGTGGATAACACAATGGTGTTTGAAACGAACGGTAATGGATTCGAGTCCCAGAGTGAACACCAACTGTGAGATGCAGGTACATCCATCTGATGAGTCCCAAATAGAATTAAATGTGCTTACTAGATTCTACTGCTAGCTACTATCCATCTTCGCTTATAATACTTGTGACTTAAGGTAATATCGAAGCAATCTGCACAGAATACACCTATATGTTTGTTAATATGTTGGCTTATCTTTTACGTATTTATAACATTTTTAAAGTATTCAACTATTGTATAGAATCCATTATATATCGCCTGTCATACAATATTAAAATCTACATATCAATGACATACAATACACTTTTTATTAGTTACGCATATGTATACTTTGAATTATTCCCAAATTAGAAAAATGGTTAATACACATAACAATGTTGATTATATATCCATGTATATACAATAAGGACATGTATAACTTTCTTTCACCTACATGAACAATTAATTACTATTCTCTATATGAAGAAAATATCGTTGATTACTTCGGTCGTTCTAATGACGATAACTAAATTTAGATGACTATTACGTATGTGTAATAGAGAGAGAGAGAGAGGGAGAGAGAGGGGAAGAGAGAGGGAAAAAAGGAAGAGAACCATAGTTGAAAAGACAAAAAAATTTAGTGTTAAATCTAAGGTCATATTATTTGTTTTAACTATAATCAAACATCATATAGTGTAGAAAACAAAAATTAGTGTTAATACAATAAACCGTATTAGAAGAAGTTCAATATATAGAAATTTAAATGATGACAACTGTGTTATGATTATTAATAGTGGATAGTCAATACAACAATATACATATAGAAACAATTTGGAAGGGGTTAAACACAACATAAACCACCATGAAATTGTTTGTTATTTTGTATCTGCGGTCATTTCTTAAGATGTTCACGTTATTCCCTATTTCTTCCGGTTAATCTCTAACTCCTGTGATAATAATAATAATAATGTATGAATATACGAGATTCATCGGCCTCATCTAGGTGATTATTTCAAATAAAAAATAATCGTGCTTATGTTTTTGTGTGCAAATAAGACACCCTGTATACACACATATATATAGATGTTATTGTTAGTAGAAGGATATTGTGTCCGGGCTATAAATACTTGTCTCTCTCTCTCTCCTGTATGTGTGTGTGTGTACTGTGACGGTGGTAAGATGAATTAGAACACAACAGCTGTTCTATAAATGTCATCTAAGGACAAAGCACACAACTAGAATAAAGTGATTATTATAGACATGAATGGTCATGACAACGAATAATGATAACTATGAGGAGAATTGTGATGTTCATATTTCAATAATTTAAAATGTTAAACCTCAAAAATTAAAAGAAAAAAAAGTTATTAAATAAATTTCAATATGTTTTAATTAATAATTTTATGCAAAATTTGATAAATCTAAAAGGTAGTTTTCATCATCACCATCATCATCATTCATAGGTTGCTGACCTATATTTTTAGAAAGAAAAAAAAGCAAAAAAAAGAGAACTAGGATGGACAGGACAGCTGTTTCAGTAATATTTTTTCTGAATTTTACAGTAGTATAATTATCTATTTATAATTTGTTGGCTAGTAGACTTGAAGTTCACAACAACAACAACAACAAAACTCACTCCTATTAATTACTTACAATCATCTAATATCATTTATTTTCAATGTCAAGTCAATTATACTAGTGATTAGATCAAGATATTAGACAGTAGATAGTTGGTTTAATGATATAAAAATGGGTTTTGTGAAGATATTTTTTTTAGAAATTTCACAACCAGTTCTGATATTCATCAACACATGCTCACTAGTGACTGAATTCAAGAGGTGTTTCATGAAGTTCTAGTGAGACATAGTGACTAGTGAAGTTTAACTAGGTCTGTTTTGAGATAGTAACTCACTGATGACAATGGTGTACGGTGGCTCAAATTCGTTGATTGGTTGAAGTTAGACATTAACACTGTTGGATGCCGGCTCAGTGGTCTAGTTGGTTAGGCACCTGGAGCGAGACTGGTAGGTCCTGGGTTCGAATCTCGCGGGGGTGGGGGATTATGGATACGCACTGCTGAGGAGTCCCACACTAGGACGAAACGGCCGTCCAGTGCTTTCAGGTTTTCCATGGTAGTCTAACTTCAACTGACTCATGATTTCAATCAGTACAAGATATCTATCATGAATGATTAACATACAACTCTAATGTCAATGAATGTTTCTTCTTATATCTATACTTTTGCCTTGGTCTTAAAGAATTACATATGTATTTCAGAAAAAAAGGACCGTAAGAATGACAGACTGTTCATGAAAATGGTAACAAAACAAGTAGATATTATAAAGGCTTTCAATAACGCATAACCTCTGGAAGTTAGTTATATTGAGAGGTGACAATGTAATAAGTAAAACTTTAATAGAAAATTTTTTATAAACATTTTCTGAACTTTTCATTCCCTGTATATTTTTCTATATCTTGAGCATAGTATTAGACCACACTGTTACTTTTTAACAAACGATGACTTACAAACCTTAAAAACGTTATTGATGATAATGATGAATTCTTACTTATTTACTATGATTCACAACATTACCCTAATTGTTTTACTTCTTACCCTACTTCTTTATACTGAGTGTTGTTCATTGATTAGTAAACGTTCAGGATTTCCTGTTGTTGTTATCCAGAATCGAACTCGGTAACTTTCTAGATAACTTGTTGTTCATTTGAAACATGAAGTACTTAGTTTGAATAATCACTGTGATACTATCAATATCTAGCTGACTGATCTGATATAGGATGAAACACATCCTGGATTCTACTCTTAACCACATATCAAAGATATTGAAATGTTACCTACTTATACTCTAATTTTATACTGTTTATGATTTAACAGCTTAAAACATTTAAATGTTAACTATTTGTTACACCTCAGCAACACATGCCTATGACTTCATCAGAGATTGAGGTGAGGAACTTCAAATCTCTCATCAAATATCTAAACTTTTTTTTTTCAATTTTTTTTATAATTTTTCATTTATTTTTCCTCTCTCAACTTTATGAATATCCAGCCAACTGAAGATAATTCATATAATGTTAAATTATCAAGATACAATCATCAGCAGCACCGACGTCAATCCAATAAATCAAATTTATCATCTTATTGTATGTCATCAGATCATGAGATGAATTATGATGAAGAATGTCAAAAAAGACAACTCCTAGGTAAAGACTTAGATGTAGAAGTGAAAAAGTATAATGAGGATGAAGAAGAGGAGAGAGAAGGTGTTGAATATAAAAATGATTGTGTTGATGGTGCTGAAGCTAACGATGATATAGACGATATTGATGGTGTTAATCACGTAGATCGGAATAATGCTAATGATGATAATAACGATGACGACGATGATGATGATAACGATGATGACAATGATAATCCCTATTCAATTGATCAACAAACTAACCATCATTATTCAACATCATTTCCAACATTGACTTCAGATAGTTTAAGTAATTGTATATCACCAATGTTAGCTGCTGCCGCAATGGCTGCGTTAACCACTGGTTGTTTTCCAACATCATGTAATCAATTAAGTCAGTTAAATTATTCATTATTATCTAAATCTTATGGAATATCTCAATTATCACCACCACCAACTCCTTTGCATCCACCACCACCACTAACATTACAACCACCTGTACCCCCTTCATCATCATCGTCGTCGGCACATACGCAACGTTCACACATAACAAAACAACAACAACTAGCATTTTTGAATTCAACACCAAACAGAAATTCAAAGGTGAGCGGTACTCATCATCCGCACTCTCATCATCATCACCAACATAATAATTGTAATAATAATAATGTCAGTATTAATAGTCTATCATCAGTCGGTTGTAATTCGTCATCTCCAATTCATTCGATTCATTCAAACAATGATGGTTATAATACAATTGCTAATAATAAAAGTAATTATGCATCTACATCACCACCACCCCAGCTTTCATCGAGATCGAATAGTCCACATCAACTGTTGAATAATCGATTAGTTTCATCAAATAATTTAACTTATTTATCATCAATGGATGATGTTGATGAAGAGAATGATGAAATGGAAAGTGATGAAGGTGAAGAAGAGATGGAAGGAGAAGAAATGGACAATTCTTCAACCCATGGTAACAATCATCAATGGACATTTGAAGAGCAATTTAAACAAGTAAGTTAATAGGATTGTGGCTGCAAGGGTGGGGTAAGGTGGTTACTATACTTTGAATGAATGTATGTTTCTTTTTTCCTTGTTATATACTCATCAATAATGGGAAGTTTATTAAGAAATGATGGGGAAATTTTACTGCAAACAAGATATTCTCGCGAGTTGTTTTCACCTCTCAGTCGACCGTACCGTGGAAAATTACTTCGGAAATCTAGAAATAAAACTAGATTAAGAGAAGTTTTTGAAGCTCGTGGGCATGATCTTAGAATCCGAGGGCTACTTAGTCACATAGTACCTTTTTGTAAGCACTATTTAATGTGTTAAATGCATACTTTAAAGGACTTACTGAAGAAGAAGGGGATCCGTGGGTTAGAGTGAGATGTATCAAACCTAGGGTAGAAGTCGTCTAACAGCATCTCTCCAGATTCTGGTTGTTTGACGGAAATACCCTACTTCCGTTGCACCTTATTAAACTTGGACGTAGGAATTTCATCTTGGACCTCTTAATGCCCTCTAACTGACCTGTTTGCCGTTATAGGAATTAAACGAATAGATGTTTTAGTAAATAAACTCGACAGGATCATCACAATATTCAAAGTAAACTATTATATTAAAGTAGCAACTATCGTTTAGTGGTGATTTAAACCAATGCACATCTGTTTCATGTCATAAGTTGCTTACGACTAACTGAACAAAGAATTTTACTCAGTAATGACAGTAATTTGATTGTTAAATTATTGAACTTTGCACCAATCAATTACGAGGTTAGGAACATAACACACACTCTACTTCAATTCAGTCAAATAGTACGTACTGCTGCTAACCCTTGTATACTAAGAAATGTACTTGATGATGCATTATGTTTTAAATTGAGTAACAGGAAGATAATTATTAAAAGTTAACACAGACGTTGTTTAAATTATAACTATTCTTTAAACAATCACAATAACACTAAGCTTATTTGAAGATGATTGTTCTTAACAAGATGCTATAAAATGACCATTGTACTTAATTACATAATGATTAGCGCTGAATACTTATTGACCACTGAATTCCGATTTATTTAATACTCTCTGTAAAACTGGAATGAGTAACTTTGAGTAATTATTGTTGAGAAGTGTAAAATTACTAAAAAAACAATAGTATTCGACTGAAATCACGAATCTATCAATGTTAGATCACCATTGACAAACTGGAAGCACTAGAAAGCCGTTTCATTCTAGTATGGGACTTATGAGTAGTGCGCATCCATAATCTCGCACGCGGGATTCGTACCCAGGACCTTCAGTTTTTTGCGCGAACGCCTAACCTCTAGATCACTTGGCTGGCATCCAACGGTGTTAATGTTCTAGGTTCGATTCCCGCATACGGGATCGTGGATGCGCACTGCCTAGGAGTCACATACTAGGACGAAACGGCCATCCAGTCCTTCCAGGTTTTCAATGGTGGTCTAACATTGATTTATTCATGATCTCGATCGAAAACTCAATACTCCCCACAAACCCATAGCAAACGTAATTCATTCTATAACGAAGACCGCTTTTATTCAGTCCTCTCTCCACAAAACAATCTAAAGTAATGCATAGAATTTCGCTTAATATAAGACATTTCTACATCTGGTATTTAATAGAATTCAATATAGTATTTCTTATTTATCTAACAATTCACTAATATATTTAATGAGTTTATATTTAGTTTAAGTTGTAAATCTTATTTTTCACAAATTGATCTTAGAGCTCAATCGGGAAACTAGTGAGTAATGAGGTTTTAGTGAAAATTCGTTGTTGTTGGTAATTTGACATGTCAGGATTGAAACAGCTTTTAGAAGATAGTTGTACAATATCTCAAATTGTTTAATGTGAGAATGATGTCAGTGGACGTTCGTTTAGCTGTTTTAATGGTTAAACATTCATTTCAAGTTCTGAAGGTCTTGCGTTCGACTTCTTCCTTTACTGGAGCCTAGGACTGTCAATAACATCAGAAGAGCTTCTAGCGAAGTTAAGAATATATACATACATCAACTTATTTTATTAAAAGTACATTCTCTCTATCCCCTCTCTTTCTTTCTTTCTTTCTATTTTTATGGTGTCACTATCATTTTTTGAGAAGATTGACTTGATTAACAAAAATATTATTGTCACATTGTCATGAGTTTCTTCCATATTCTTCTTCAAGTATGAACTATTTTGGATACCTTAAAGTTTTATCATTAAAAAAACGTTGTATAGATATACATATAAAGCCATCAATTTTGTATATTATACTTAACTGTTAGCATACTATATATACATATATACGTTAAGTACCATACTTATTGATTATTGAAGTAATTGAAGTAATAAGCTTGAATAAAGAATGAACTCCTTAATTAATACTTAGATGTCACATTTTACTTCCCCCTTTGCCTTACTCTCGCTCTATCTCTCTCTTGTACCATTTATCTCTCTCTCTCTCTCTCTCTCTTTATCCCTATACATAGAAATTAATATTACAATAATATAACCATAAGGATTGTATTCCTTTAGAAAAAAAGAATTAATACAATTTAATAGGATTATAAACATTATAAAAATTTATGATAAAGTTTGAATTATTAATTAGATCGTTTAAGTATTTGTATTTGAGTGGATACGTACGCACAAGAGGTATGCACGCGGATGTATCCATCCATATCTCTATCTCTCGCTCTCTCCCTCTATAATTAAATCACAATGGTTGATTAAAAGTACGCGGAAACTAAAACTACCCTATACATAAACATATACATACAAGGTAAATTGTATAGATAAAATTATCCAAGCATTTTATCATTATAACTATTTATTAATATTATCCCCTTTATTATACAAACATACTGTTGATAGTTAGATAGATGCTGCATACAGATTGACTATAGTTCTTCTCCTTGTTTTTTTTTGAAAAAAAAAGTAGAGTAAATGTTTATGAGACGAATCCCTTAGGAGAATAAGTTATATAGATACAATTTAATCCATATATACAGTATAGTATAGTATAGTACAGTATAGTATAGTAGAGACACAGTTTAATCTCAAGGGGCTATAAAAATTATACTTTTGAATTATCACATTTGATATATACTTGATATAAATTATTTATACTGAATGAATGAATGAATGGAATGATTTTAATTACATGATGGTGATGATATTATGAATCTTATTATTATTATTAATACTAATATACCTCATAATTTATAATGATCCATCTATTTACTCTTAACATTACTTCTTTTTTTATTATAATCTATGAAATGTTTCTTCAAGTGACCGTCTACGAATATTGATTACTGATAGAAAAGGTGTTCTTTATAGTATATGATAGATTGATATGTATAATTACTTACTTACTTACTTACGCCTGTTACTCATAGGTCGCTGACAAGCATTCTCCAACCCACAATGTCCTGGGCCTTCTCTTCTAGTTCCATCCAATTGTTGTTCATTCTTCTCATGTCTACCTCCATTTATCAACTTAATGTGTTCGTTGGTCTTCCTCTGCTCCTCCTTTGGCCTTGAAGATTCCATGTGAGGGCTTGCTTTGTGATGCAGTTGGGTGATTTCCTCAATATGTGTCCTATCCACTCCCGGTGATTTTTCTTGATTTCATCTTTTGCTGGGATCTGATTTATTCTCTCCCATAGTAGGTTGTTGCTGATAGTGTCTGGCCAACGGATCCGAAGTATTTTGCGTAGACAACTGTTAGTATGCACTTGTATGTTCTGGGTGATGGCTTTGGTAATTCTCCAGGTTTCTTCCCCATACAGTAGATCTGTTTTGACATTTGTATTGAAAATCCTGACCTTGATGTTGGTTGACAGTTGATTTGAGTTCCAGATGTTGTTCAGTTGTGAATATGCTGTTCTTGCTTTGCCGATTCGCGCCTTCACATTAGCATCAGATCCGCTGTGTTCATTAATGATGCTGCCCAGACATGTAAAAGTTTTTACATCTTCCGAATCTTCTCCGACAATTGTGATAGGATTGGTGCATGCTGTGTTTTATCGGAGAATCTTGCTTTTCCCTTTGTGTATGTTGAGATCTACTGTTGCCAAGGCTGCTGATGTGTACAACTAGATTTCAAGAAACAGAATGAAGTTTACTTTAGAATAATCTTAATTAAGAAGAGAAACTAAAAAAAACATTATCTTGAAATGATGTGTAATTGAATGAATGGAGAGGATTATTTTGATGTAGCTGGTTTATTCACAAAAAGTTTATTTGTCATTCTGGACAATATCATTAATATCTGCTACATATAGAAGTGAAGTTAACCATTATTCCATGAATATTAAAACATTTCTTTATAATAGTCTTGTTTGTGATTAGCTGCCATTGTAGATTTATAGGTCTCAAATGTGTGATTGTGTTCTTGTAAACTGTTTTGTTTGTTTGTTTGTTTGGACTCTAACCACATGATTGATGGGTCATTTATGTGTAGATACATAAATTGGATATATATTACCATGTACTTTTACAGTAGACTGACTTGAATGTCATGTTTCCAGAAATACTATAATATTCCTAGAATTTCTTCAATATACTGAATTTTAATGTCTTCCCAGTTGTCTATCGTATACTGATGTCAGTGATAATGCATCATTGTCTGTTGATGGGAAGAGTGTCCAGTTTTTCCAATGTTATGTTTGCCATAGATGTTATAACTCGTGTATAATGTTCTATCTTTCTTATTTACTGCTGTCTTTCAGTATGCATAAAATCGAATGGACTGATTACAGCGGTTTGTGAACAATGTGAATACTAATAGGTTTTTTTTAAATTTTTATTGACACATATTTTGATCATCCATCTTTTGGGGTCCACTTCTTAATGCTGTTTCACTTCGCCAGGTACATTTTTCTTTATAAAATCACTGGGGGTAGCCATTTTATATGAGGTCAATAAAAGATGAGTTTCTTGAATTTCCTGGAATGAGTACGAGTTCTTCTGGATGTTAACTACTCACAACTTTTCTTGTACAGTGTT